CAAGAGCTGCTGTGCCACCGGGGCTGGATCTGCTACCCCGGGCGCTCGCAGGATGGCACGCGAGTCCCTCTGCGAGCCCACGGCTTTGACAGCCTGTGGTCCTGCCCAAGCGGTGTCCCTGGAGCAGCCCACCCGGGATGCTGCTCTGCTTGCCCTGGCTAGGAGCCGGGCTGGCTCGAGCCCCTCTTCTGTTGGAGTGGCCAAGGAATCGCCCCGCTGCGGGACGCGAGGCACAGCGCAGCCCCAGCCAGCAGCCGCCCCCCTCGCTCTTTCATGGAAAACCCTGAAATTCTTGACTTCGGTCCCCAGAGCAGCACCCCAGGGGTCCCTGCGTCCCCCAGGGGTGCCACTGCCCTTCTGCGGCTCACGTACAGGGAAAGCATCCTGCCTCCGTCGCCTGCCGCAAATTTCGGTACTGAGAAGCGACGGATATTGCGAGTTCAACTATCACTGACAACCTGGGAGACAAAAAAAGCAGTGACATTTCCAAAGCAGCGTGTGGCCTCTTTGCTGGCCGTCGGAGCTGAATGTGTGCGCGAGAGGAGCGGGCTTGGATGAAGTGGGCAGTAAGTGCTGGCTTTCTTCTGGTGACGGGGTGTGCCTCTGCATTACCCTGAATTTCTGCATCGACACACAGCGGTTGCGTTCGCCATCTCTGTTTTCAAATGCAGCCCTCCTACAGCCAATTCCTGCTCCTGCGTGTGCTGCAGGGAGGGAAGGAACGGTCCGTACAGCCTCTCTAGTCTGCTTCTGCTTTCCTTGCCATTTCCCCTGCTGCTCCGTGGATGCCTTGGGGCAGCTCAGCGAAAGCTTTCCTCTGCTCTGTGACTCAAAGAAAGGGCTCCCTGGCTGTGGCGAGGCTGAGGAATGGGACGGGGGAAGGCTCTAGCAGGTGCCTGGGAATTGTTGTGCGTGGACTCATTCAGGGATGAAGAGAGAACAGGACTTGCCTGGGGCCGATGCTGGTGGGCACCGGCGTCCTAGCGGGAGGCTCTCGGTGGGGTAAATCGCAGCGGTCCTTGTCTTTGGGAACAAGCGGCAGCGCAGGGCGGATGGAGACCACAACTCCTTGGAAACCTTGCTTTTCACTGCTCGGGCAGGGCTGGCCGCCCAGGGGCTCGCCAGAGATGCAGCTCCTGGGAGCGTCTCGGGGGGGCTGGTGAAGCTCCCCCAGGGTCTCTGCGGCCACGGCTGCGAGGGGCTGGCTGGGTTGAGCAGGACTGGGGCTCGCACCCAAAGGGGAAGGACGTGAGACCGGCTGGGCACGGGCTCAGCGGCACCTCACCTGGGGCCCGA